CCTTCCCTCCTTCTCTTTCCCCTTCCTTCCTTCTCTCTCCTTCCCTCCCCTTCTTTCCCCTTCCTCCCCTCTCTCACCTCCCCTCCTTCTCTCCTCCCCTCCTCTTTCCCCTTCCTTCCTTCTCTTTCCCCTTCCTTCCTTCCCTCTCCTTCTTTCCTTCTCTTTCCCCCTTCCTTCCTTCTCTCTCCTTCCCTCCTTCTTTCCCCCTTCCTTCCTTCTCTCTCCTTCCCTCCTTCTTTCCTTCTCTTTCCCCCTTCCTTCCTTCTCTCTCCTTCCCTCCTTCTTTCCCCCTTCCTTCCTTCCCTCTCCTTCTTTCCTTCTCTTTCCCCCTTCCTTCCTTCTCTCTCCTTCCCTCCTTCTCTTTCCCCTTCCTTCCTTCTCTCTCTTTCCCTCCTTCTCTCTCCTTCCCTCCTTCTCTTTCCCCCTTCCTTCCTTCCCTCTCCTCCCAACCCCGGCCGCGCCCCGCCAACTCAGGCTGCGTTCGCGCGACCCGGCTGGACACGCGTCTTGCCTTAGAGCCGGGTTTGTAAGGTTTTGAGGGGCGACGCGCGCCCCCTCCCCCGGGGGGGGGCAGATGAAGAGTGGGGAAGGTGGGTGGGAGAGAGAGGAGGAAAAAGGACCCCTGGGGGGGGCGGGGACACGCCTTAAGAGGACCCCTCCCCTCCCTTCCCAGGGTCTCCCCCCCCCAAGCACTCACCTGGGAAGCAAAGAGGAGGAGGCGGAGGAGGCGGGGGGGGGCGCGGCCCGGCGGACGGAGCCGAGAGGTGGGCGGGGGTCCCAACCGGGCTGACTTTCTCCCGGCGGGCGGGCGGGGGGCGCAGATCAAAGGCGCCTTTGGAACGTGGGGAAACTTTCCGCGGCGGCGTCACAAAGCGAAGCGGCCCCTCAACGTTCCACGCGGAAAACCCCCCCGCCCCGCCCCGCCCCGGTGGGCGATGCCGCCGCTGCTGCCGCTGCTGCTGCCCCCCCTCCGGCCGGCTGCAAAGTCATCGGCGGCTCCGCTCGCCCTTTCCCAAGCCCGGCTCCGGGCAGACCCGAGCGCAGCCCGGCCCCGCTGGTCAGTCCTCGGGCGGGGGTCGCGGGGCGGCGGTGGATAAAGCTGCCCAAGTCCCTGGCCGCGTGGGATCGGCCGCCCCGCTCGCACAGCTCGTGGGTCCCGGAATAGGAAAAGGGCGCGGACGCCCGAAAGGAGCCGCCCGCCCGCCTTGTTCAACGCCTGGCGTCAGCGCGCATGCTTCCCGCCTCCTCTTAAAGGGCTAGCGCCTTGGAGGAGGAGGAAGAGGAGGAGGAGGAGGGTGGAAGTGGGTCGTCGTGGGTACCTCTCTCTTCCTTCTTCTCCCCCCCCCCTCGGACGGAGCTGCCTTTTGACACTGTTTGGAAGAGAAAGCCTCGGGCAACCTCGAGATGGGACTTGGGTGTAGGAACAACAGCCTGACAAGGTAGAACGGCCGAGCGCAAAGAAGTTGGAGAGCTGATGCGGAGCTCCTTGCAAAGGCCTTTCAACAACCGGGTCTGTGGGCATGGCTTAGGTGGTGGACGTGGCTTGGTGGTCATGTTATTGGCTGGGTGTGGCCAAGTCAATATCACTCACATCGAGGCAGGCCTCTCCTCGCTTGGCCTCTCGTGACTGTGGGGATGCTGCAGCAGTCGTAAGTGTGAAAAATGGTCATAAGTCACTTTTTCAGTGCCATTGTAATTGGTCACTCCACACAAGCAAATTACCAGCAAAGGAGGGAAAAAGAAACTCCAGAGAAGTTCCTGAGACAGGAAGTCTAGTCCTGCCAAGAATGGAATAAGGGTTAACGGAGAGGCAGTTTCTGTAAGCAACTCCAGAATGTTTCCTTCCTGCCTTCCTTACAGGATTAGGCCAGTAATTTCTCCCAACAGCTTAGAAGGTTAACAACCGGTTCTAGCGAATAGGTGCAAACTGGTAGAATCCCGTCCCTGTCCCACACTTACGACCATTGTAGCATCCCCATGGTCACGTGGTCAAAATCCAGAATCAAAATCCCACTGGGGAGGGGGCTCTCGGTCCCCCCCCTTGGAATCCAGGGGTCAGCCTTTTTTTAAAATCATTTCTGAGCGAGTTAAAGAAACGAGGTTTGGGTGAAATTCTGCGATGCTAGATGAACAGAATAAAAGTTTATTTTATTTGTTGTTATTTACAGGGGGGGGACAGGGGGGCGGCTGCCTTTTCTAAAGCAGCTGTGCCTATTTTCAAAAGCGGAATTGGTGCTCGGGAGAGCATCCAGATGCAGAACTGCCAAATCTCGTTCCTTACTTGTGACTCCTGTGTCTTTCCATTCCAACGCTTACAGCGGCTCCTTTTTTGGCCCGGTTGGAAGCTAAAGTCTGCTGCACAACTTCAGCTTCCTGAAGTCGACTTCGAGGGCCTGCGTGCGTTTGTGTGCCTGTGTGTGAAGCCGCTGCCAGTTTGCACTGCCAGTTTGCACGTGGGAACCCAGGGAAGCGCAGGTTGCAAAGTCCATAAACTCTGCTCTGAACTGGAAGGAGATTTGCAACGTTTTTTTTTTGGCACGTTGTGCAATGAGAGAAAAGCTGCAATCTATCCAGCAAACTGACTAATATATTTTCATCCTGCATGTGCCCTAGTGTTACTTTGCACTCCTTTTATGTATGTTGCCTGCTGCTCTTTGTGTACTCTAGGCTAAATCGGGGATGTCAAACTCAAAAGGTGCCTCTGCTAGCAAAAATGGGGCACAGGTGGGATGTGGGCCGCCCCCTGCAACCACTTTTGGCCTCTGGAGCGCTCCCGGAGACCTACCACGCCCAAAATGGAGCCTCCGGGGTGCTTCAGAAGGTTATAAAAGGGAGAAAAAAATAAAAATATTTCACCTTTCAGGATTCTGCTACTATAGCCTATGTCAACAATTTATAATTCTAGTCTACCTATGGAGTCAGTTTCTCTCTCTCATAAGGTGATCAAGTAGATCAAGTATTGGAAAAACCAAAATTGCAGAAATGTATGCCTATTTTTTTAATATGTTTAATCAAAACCATGTCTGCGGAGGTGCAGTCCATATCATGCCCACCATGGCCACCGGTCCTCCAAGGTCAGACCCAGTCCTGATGTGGCCCTCAGTGAAATTGAGTTTGATGTCTTTGCGCTAAATCTCTCTATATAAAAGCAAAATACTCCTTGCGCATCATCACAAAATCTTCAGCACCGTAAAGCCTACAAACTTGAAAATTTGGCACCTATGTTCCTCTTGGCTTCTAGGTGCTCACTAAGAAAGGATTTTTTTGAAATGACCCTCAGAGCATTTAGAGTATTTCCTATATTATTATTATTAACACGCTCTGATGCTAAGGAGTTCTACTCTCCCTCCCCACCTGCAAAACACAAGCAGAGGAGTTTCAGTTTCAGAGCACCGAACAGCTTTTTAGCACAGAACAGTTGAGCTAAGCCACGCCCAGGCTCCTCGCTGTCTCCTTGCTCACACAGCAAATACTATTTCAGTTTCCAAACAGCCCTCAACTCTCTCTCTCACACTGACAGGACACTAGCCGGATGAATACGAATGGATGCTGGTAGGCAGAGGCAGAATTTCCCCTCCCCCTTATTTTCCTCCCCCAAAACTAAGCCCCACCACGTAGTTTGGTAGTGAAGCACGGGTCTCGAGCTAGTAAATAAAATAACTCAAATAATTATTCACAAAAGGCAAAAAAGCAACAACAACCCTTTACCGCGCTGAAATGCGCAGATCCGCCAGCAGAGGGCGGGCCACTCCAGAGAACTTGGGCTGTGCCAATGGGCTGCAATTGGGAGATAACTCATTTGCCTCTTGACAAGGATGGATTTAATATATAGATTGAAGGTGGCTAGCTCGAATTACCGACCAAAGGCGACAAATTTGAATTAATATAATAAGGACTGTTAAAATTGCAAACGTGACAGAAAAAGGTAATATGGGAAATGAACATAGAAATGAGATAAACATTTTAGATAACAATGTGAAATAAGATGTGAGAGTAAGTACCCTAAGAAAAAATGAATTAAAAAATGAAAAAATGAATTATAACATGATCTGGAATTGGATAAGTTTAACATTTAATACCAATAAGGATAACGGGATATGATATTTCATAAATAAAATGAATAGGTAACTATGGTCACGTTTGTATTGAGATGGGAAACCTGGATTCACACTATAAGGTATGTTTAAGGTGGTTGACGTTAGGAGAGAATATTGAAATGTTGAAAATAAGCAATGAAGTGGTGACTTAATGTGAATATGTGTATTAAGAGATATTATTAACTCTGCTTGTACTAAAATGTATGATACATTGATGCCACACTGTTAATGTATGGTTGTGTGTGTAGGTTGAAATAAAAAACTTGATTTTAAAAAAATGGAAATGATGTGCAATTAATTCCCCCCCCTTCCCGTCCTTTGCGGCCTGGGTGCCATGCCTCTGGTGGAGACTGACTCTGAGGGAGAGGAGGAACAGCCAACAGGGAGTGGAAGTGTGGCTCCGGAGGTTGTGGAGGAGGCTGGGGAAGGGCAGAGGCTGGCTGGGCAACCAGGCCCATCCCCTCTTCATCCTAGGACATGCAGGGAGGAACGGAGAAGGAAACAACTTGGCTTATGAGAGAGGAAGCGGCCATGATCCCCCTCATTGGTTGCAGCTGGGGAGAATGGTATATAAGAGAGACGGTTAAAAACACAGCATTGCCAGAAGCAAAGAATGCGTTATTTTGGGCTGAAGTTATCTTAGTTGGCGTCCTTCCAACAGACTGTACCTGGTTATCTCCTTGCAGTAATTACTTATCCTGGTCTGTTGTGGAAATTCCTTCATTGTAGTTTGTTTTGGTTTTTTTATCTCACCTCGATCTGCTCATTAAGTTCGGACTGCATTGCTTTCTTTTGAAGACTGTTTTTGAATACGTTTTATCTCCAACTGAGAATTATTGAACAGCGGGGCCAAGTTGGAGGCATTAAAGGACGTTTTGGATTTTGTTACGTTTGTGTTACACTACGGGTCATCACACTGGGCTCCATGGTGGCTGTAAGTTGCGGATTGCCTGTATCGCAAGACAGAAATGATACAGAGCCTGCATTGTGGAAGGCAGGTTCGACCATTTAAATGGAAACCAGAAAACAGCATTTAAAAGAGCATCCTTGTATATAATTTATTGATTCAAAAGAGCCCACGCAGATAAGACTAGAGTTGGTCCTAAAATCCGGCTTTTTTTTTTTTTCCCCAGCGCCAGGGACTTAGAAGACCAATCGTCCTTTTATTTAAAAAAAAAACATACATCTTTTTAAAAACACTGAGAGAGAAAGGCTATAATATCATCCTCTCACATCCAGATTTTTTTTTCCCTTTCAAAGGACCCCGTAGAAATAAAGCAAGGATTAAAATATAGTTATTATTAACAAAATCTAGGAAGACCGCGGATTACCGCCGCCCTTTTTAAATCTACGTTTTTAAAAGCAAGAGGTGGTAAAACCAGGAAGGAAAAACACACACACGAGTGGGTGGGCTTTGCAGTCACCGATTCTGCTCATTCTTCCTCGTCACTCTTGGCAGAAAATCCAGTCCGTCCTTTTTTCTTTTTAAAGTGCAGAAGGTCAGTCAGTCAGCAATCGAAGGCCGAAACTCAGAGAGAGAGAGGGAGAGAGATTGCATGCCATTTTGGGAGAGAGAAAACCTTTGAACAGGAAAGGAGAAAAAGATTAATGAAATATGAGGTTGGGATATGCCTCACTACAGGCGGTCCTCAGCTTACAGGTGTTCGCTTAGTGACCAGTTCAAAGCTTCACAGCGCCGGAAAAAAGCGATTTGCAGCTGGTCCTTGCACTTAACAACTGAAGCAGGAGACCCTATCACCATGGTGGTGAACCTATGGCACGCGGAGCCATTTGTGCAGGCATGTGAGCCCCAGCCAAACTTACCTGCACTGCGCATGCACACCCCTCCCAGATGATTTTTGACCCGTTTGAGGCCTTTTATGGCCTACCAGAGGCTCGAGGGAAGCCTCTGCAGCCTTGGGAGGCCGAAAAACGGGCCTTCCGGAAATACCGGAAGTGTCCGTTGTCAGCCTCCCGGGGGCCTCTGGAGCCTGGGGGAGGCTGTTTTCGCCCTCCAGGGGGGTTGAGGGAAGCCTCTGCAGCCTTGGGAGGCCGAAAAATGGGCCCGTTTCAGCACTTCTGGTATTTCCGAAAATACCGGAAGTGCCAAAACCTGAAGTGCTGAAGTGCCACTTGTATCCTTACAATTTATATTGCCTGTTTCCTAGTATGATTTGATTGCTTATTGCACCCTATGACTATTATCATTGTACCTGATGATTCTTGACTCTTGACAAATGTATCTTTTCCTTTAGGTACACTGAGAGCATTTGCACCGAGACATATTCCTTGTGTGTCCAACCACACTTGGCCAATAAAGAATTCTATTCTATTCTATTCTATTCTATTCTATTCTATTCTATTCTATTCTATTCTATTCTATTCTATTCCTTCCAATATCTATTCTACTCTACTCTACTCTACTCTACTCTACTCTACTCTACTCTATTCATTCCTATTTCTATTCTATTCTATTCTATTCTGTTCATTCCTATTTCTATTCTATTCTATACTATACTATTCTATTCTTGTTCTATTCCATTTTCCATTCCATTTTCTATTCTATTCTATATTCCATTCCATTCCATTCTATCCTTTCTCTCTCTTTTTTTCACATCTTCATCCTAAGAAGGCAACCTTTCTCCTCCTTATCTGTCTTTTGGCAACAACCTGTGTCCTCGATCAAGAGTCAAACTTCATTTGAGACAAAGATCTGCAAAAACGCCCAATGACAAAAGCTTTCCGACAGAATGAAAAAAACAAAAGACACACAACTGGAAAAAGCATTCAGTGTTGCCAAAGGTGTTTTGCCTTTTGTGTTTGGAATTGACGTCTTTAATCAAGGAAGCAGGTTTTGAGTTTCTCGGAAAAAAAACAAAACAAAGCCGAAATAATCAGTTTGTCCTCATTTCTTTTCAAAGGTTTCAGGTGATTCTCGGTCACTTTCACAAAAGAAGAAATGCCAACTTAACCCATCGGGAAGGAAACAGCGTGGAAAGTTAATACAAGACTTAATCTGCTCTCTAAAACTACTTTTTGTCGGAAGGACTGACAGGATAAAATGGGGAGGGGGTGAATTTATTAAGGGACAAAGGAGGGGGAGGGTTGAAAAAGCACTAATTAATTTTCTTCCAGGCCTTGTTGTTAACTCCAGCAAGTTCCCAATTTTGTTGATAGCACCAAATACAGGCCACCCTCAATGTTTATCTCCATCCGTTTAAAAATGGTTTAAATTTACAACGGCCTGGGAAAAATTAAGTTAGGATCGGTCCTCAGATTTACGACTGTTGGCTCCACCTTCACAGTCAACGCGACACTCAACAACTGTGGGTCACAAAAGGAGATTCCCATGACCCTGGGTCACTGCCACCATCGTAAAAATGAGTCAGGAGAGATTCAACCTGGAAATAAGGAGAAACTTTCTGACAGTGAGGACAATCCACTCATGGAACAGAAGTTGCCTTCAGAAGTTGTGGGAGCTTCATCCCTGGAGGCTTTCAAGAAGAGACTGGACTGCCATTTGTCAGAAATGGTGTAGGGTCTCCTGCTTGGGTGGGGGGTTAGACTAGATGACCTCCAAGGTTCCTTCCAACTATTGTTCTGTTCTGTTCTAGTTAAGATATCTGACTAGACAGCTATGCTAGAAAAGGTGCAGAGAAGAGCAACTAGGATGATGAGGGGACTGGAGGCTAAAAGATACGAAGAACGGTTGCAGGAACTGGGCCTGGCTAGTCTAAGGAAGAGAAGGACCAGGGGAGACAGGAGAGCATCTTTCAATATTTGAAGGGAGAGGGAGAGAAAGGAAAGGAAAGAGAAAAAGTAAGGAAGGAGAAAAAGAAAGAAAGAGAGAGAGAAAGAGAGGGGGAGAGAGCAAGAGAGAGTGACTTGATGCTAAAACATACAATGAACTGGGCCTGGCTAGACTAGGGAAGAGAAGGACCAGGGGAGACAGGAGAGCATCTTTCAATATTTGAGGGGCTGCCACAGAGAGGAGGAAGGGATCAAACTATTCTCCAAAGCCGCTGAAGGCCAGACAAGGAATAATGGATGGAAACTGATCCAGGAGAGATTCAACCTGGAAATAAGGAGAAACTTTCTGACAGTGAGAATCATCAACCCATGGAAAAGAAATTGCCTTCAGAAGTTGTGGGAGCTTCATCCCTGGAGGCTTTCAAGGACAGACTGGACTGCCATCGGTCAGAAATGGTGTAGGGTCTCCTGCTTGGGAGGGGGGGTTGGACTAGATGACCTACTAGGTCCCTTCCAACTCTGACGATCTGTTAAAATACACACCGGAGGGTTAGCTGAGCCCCAAACAGCCTCTGAATTCGGGCAGCGAGATCAACTTGTTGCCGCTGAGATCGCAGTAATCCAGGAACTTCCGGACGCAGCGCTTGGGCCGGGCGTTTTGCTTCATGTACAGCTTGAAAGGGCGCAGCTCCCGCTCGCTCACGCCGTTGCTGAAGTCTCGGTCCAGGTGGGTGAACTGCCAGCGCACGGCCCGGTCTTCCAAGCTGGGGGCCGCTAAGGAATCCGGAAACCTGCCAGAGAGCGTGTCGTGGTTTTTTGTTTTAAACGTGGTTTAATTGTCGCTGCAAGTCAAGGTGGTATTTGTAATGTTCCCAACAACAACCCTGGAAGGTAGGCTGGGCTGAGCGTAAGAGACTCACCCTGAATCCCTCAAGAGGGGACTAGAACTCATCACCACCTGGGGATTGGCCCCAAATCACCCAGCTGGCTTTCATGCCCAAGGCAAAAC